ATAATGGTTCTCATTCTAAGGGCAGGGACCATTATGATAGATCTCAGCAATGCTACCAGCATCAGGGTTATTCCAGTCGGCATGTTCAAGCAACACTCCAAGCCTTAGAGAGCGACCTGTATAACTGAGGTGGTGATGGTTTATGTTAGAGTTCGAGAGACTCGCATTTGGGATCTTTGGGTCGTGGTGGTCGATCTTCTCATAGTTGTGCTTCTCAGGGTTGTTATGATTATGGTAAGCTTGACCACTAATCTAGAGAGTTTCCCTTGTGAGGGATGATTGTGCTTGCTCCACAGACACCTCAACCAATTTTGGCAGTAGTACCGACTAGAGGTAGTGCCCAAGGTCAGGATCATAGAGGTGGTCACCAAGAAGCTCGAGGAGGACCCCAAGGAGGTAAGTCAGGAGATAGATTAGACGTTCAGTTCATAGGGCCACCTATATACAACTCCAACGAGGTGGGAAGCTGAGGCATTGGACGTTGTCATCATAAGTACGATTCTTATATGCCATTAAGTCCGCCTCAGTTTTATTTAATCCGGATTCTACATATTCTTATGTACATGTTTATTATGCTTCCCAAATAAGTATGTTTTCTTAGACTCTATTAGCGTCGTTACATGTTTCGACCCCGTGTGGGTGAGTCTTTAGTAGTGGATCTGGAGTATAGATCATGTTTGGTGACTATCCAGGGGTGTGACACTAGGACTGACTTTATTGTGTTGGATATGCTTGATTTTGATGTTATTATGGGCATGGAATTATGATAAGACACTTATATCAATTATTATTTCTTAAAAAACGTGCAAAGTTTAATCTGAATAAGTAAAAGTGAGGGAGTTATATATTCCCCTTGATTTGCTAAAAAATATAAGTAAAAAAATTATTTTTAGTTAGGGTCAAGTACAATAAAACGGAGGAAGTTACTCCCTCTATCCCATTTTTAAGTGTCATTATGAAAAAAAAATTAATTACAATGTAGGAATATATTTACCATATTTTATTATTCTTATTCTATCAATCATTGTTACTTAAGGAACATGCAAAGTGTAATCTGAATTGGTAAAAGTGAACGTACAACAATAGATTCCTCTTGATTTGCTAAAATAAATAAGTAAACAAAATTATTTTAGTTAGGGTAAAATAACATAAAGCGAAGGAAGTTACTTCCTCCATCTCATTATAAGTGTCATCATGAAAAAACCTAAGTACAATGTAGGAATATCAAGGGCGGCTCAACACTAAAGCCACTGCATCCCCAAAAAATAAGGGCTCCAAAGAACTTAAAAACCCCCAAATTCAATTATGAAAACATTTGCACAAAAAAGAAATGAATCCGACTAAGGGTGTGTTTGGTATGAAGGAAAATGTTTTCCAATTTTCTCATGTTTGGTTGGCCTAAATGTTTTCCAAATCAACTCATTTTCCTCAAATTTAAGTAAAAATGACTTCCCTTCAAAACTTAAGGAAAACATTTTTCAAAACTCTCTTCCAACTTCAAATTACAATTATTTTTTCTTTTTTGTTGAAAAAATCAATTTATTTTGTCCCTACCCTCAAACCCCCCCCCCCCCCAACTAAA